GTAGTGATATGATGTTGATTATGATGCTGATGATGATTATGATGATGATGCTGATGATGAGGATGATGATGATGTGAAGAAGGAGCAGGATGATTTCGATGATGCTGATGATGAGGATGATGACGATGATGATGATGATGGTGATGGTGGTGGTGGTGGTGGTGGTGATGATGATGTTGATGAGGATGATGATGAGGATGATGATGATCGCATGTGATGCTGATGTGATGTTGCTGCTGATGTCTTGCTGGGCTGATGATGATGATGATGCTGATGGCTGATGATGATGCTGATGCTGAGATGATGATGATGGATGGTTGATGATGATGATAAGAAGATGATTGATGATGTGATGATGATGATGATGATGATGATGCAGATGATATGATGAGGATGATGAGATGGATGATGATTGATGATGATGATGATGATGATGATGATGATGATGTATGATGATGATGATGATGATGATGATGTGATGATGATGAGATGATGATGATGATGATGATGATGATGATGATGATGATGATGATGATGACGATGATGATGAACGAAGGGACTGAGGAACAGAGGAGGAGGAGGAGTAGGAGGAGGAGGAGGAGGAGGAGGAGGAGGAGGCGGAGGAGGAGGAGGGGGGAGCGAGAGGAGTTGGAGGAGGAGGCAAGGAGAGGAGGAGGAGGAGGAGGAGGAGAAGGAGGAGAGGAAGAGGAGGAGGAGCCGGCAGCAAGGGGAGCAGAAATGCCAGGATGTGACGGAAGGGGTCGCAGGGTGAGGGTGAGGAGGAGGAGGAGGACGAGGAGGAGGAGGGAGGAGGAGGAGGAGGGAGAGGAGGAAGAGGAGGAGGAGGAGGAGGAAGGAGGAGGAGGAGGAGGAGGAGAGGGAGAGGAGGAGGGGAGGAGGAGTAGGAGGAGGAATAGAGGAAAGGAGGACGGAGGAGGAGGAGGAGAAGAGGAGGAGGAGCAGGAGGAGGAGGAGAGAGGAAGGAGGCGGAGGAGAGGAAGAGGAGGCAGGAGAGGAGCAGGAGGAGGAGGAGGTGGGAGGAGGAGGTGGAGGAGGAGAGGAGGAGTGGAAGGAGGAGGCGGTGGGGAGGGGAGGAGGAGCAGGAGCAGGAGGAGGAGGAGGAGGAGGAGGAGGAGGAGGAGGAGGAACAAGCGAGCCAGGAGGAGGAGGAGAGGAGGATGAGGGGGGAATGACGGGAGGCCCTCGTGGGCCAGAGTCGCTTTCCGAGTTGATTTTGGGAATTCTGGGCGTTCTTGGAGGACACCTTGGGCTATTCTGGGCCAATTTCAGAGACCATGGGGCCCCGGGGGCTATTTTAGAGGCCTCCTTGGGCTCAGACGTGCGTTGGGGAGCTCGTAGGGGGACCTCACCCTTAGACAGGACTTGGGAATGTGGGGGAGGGGGAACCAGGGGGGGAGGGGCTCAGTCAGACAGCTCACGCGTCCCCGTCGCTCCCGGCAAGCGGGGGTCGGCGGACCCCATCCCGCCCGAGGAGCCCCTCCCTCCGGACGACGTGCTGATCTTCGACGTGACGCTGCGCCACGTCGGCTCCGTGGAGGCCCCTGAGGCGCCAGCGGCCGCGCCAGCGGCCGCGTCCGAGGCTGGCGGCCTGGCCACGGCCGGCGGCGCCGGGCCGCTCGCGCAGAACGGCACCCTCCGCGGCTGGCTCGACGGCCTGCTGCACAGCGCGCAGGTGCGGGGCGACCCGGGCGTGCAGAAGATGCTGGGCGTGCCGCTGCGCGAGGTCGGCTCCGTGCAGACGCCCCCGGCGGGCGGCGCCCAGTAGCGCGCGCCGCCCACGGCCGCTCGAGTCCGGGGCGCTCGTGCGCCCGGCAAGGCGGCACCGCTTGCCCGCACTCTCTCCTCCCTCCGTTCGCTGCGCCCCGGCGCGGCCGCGCTCCAGGTGGCGCCGCTTCAGGGAAAACGGCCATCGATAGACGCCTTCCCGCGAGTCACCGCCGCCCCCCTGTGGGCCGGAGGGCGGGGCGTGTCGGGGGCCTCTCTCCTCTTGGGGCCTCGTGGGGCACCGGGCTAGGATTGGGTCCTCTCCGGCCAACTGTGCGTCTTCCTTCTTGGGCCATCATGGGTCCATCCAAGGGCCCCCCTGGACCTTCCTCGGGCCCCCTTGGCCTCCCAGGGCATCCAAGGCCTCCCCAGGAGCTTGCCAGGAGTTCCCCAGATCCTAAACCCTCAAGCCTAACGGTCCTACGCCCTCCCAGGGGACGCCCAGGAGCCTCCCTGGGGCTCCCCGAGCATCTCAGGAGCATCCACTGCCTTCCGAGGGCCTCCTGTGCTAACGGTTGCGCGGAGCTTCTCAGATCTCAGGGCCTCAGTGCCGCCAGGTGCAGTTGGATCTTCCATGTGCGCAGCCCCCGCCTTTCGGCATCGCTCCATTCAGGATTCCGTGTCTGCCATATTTCTGCATTCTTGGAGACTCCCGGAGGGCCCTCGTCGCCACGGCTGGCTTCGCCTCGCAACCCTGCTCAGAACGCTCTCTGTGTCCAGGGGTCGGCTTTGAGGTCGAATGAGGAATAAAAGAAGAGGATGGAGGAGGAGGAGGGCAAGGGTGAGAGGCAACTTCGATCTGCTTGGCACCACGCTGCCGACCAGACTGTGACAGGCTGGAGTGCGCAGCTTCTCTGCGCTCAAGCTCTTCTCGGCCAGAGCGAGCGCCGCCCGCCCGCCTCTGCCCTTCCTATACCCTGGCCTCGCCCGACCAGACAGACCAGCGCGGCACGGCCATGGCGCCGCGCGCCTTGGCCCTCCTCGCCCTGGCGGCCTTGCCGCGGGCGGCCGCGCTCCAGGCCGGCGGCGCCGCCCCGTCCAGCGGCGCCGCTCTCGATGGAGCGGCCGGCGGGGCCGGGCCGCTCGCGCAGAACGGCACGCTCCGCAGTTGGCTGGACGGCCTGCTGCACAGCGCGCAGGTGCGGAGCGACCCGGGCGTCCAGAAGATGTTCGCGCTCGTGCCCGGCCTGGAGGGCGCGCTCCAGGGGCCGGACGCGCTGCAGCAGGCGTTCAGCCCGAGGATGATCGATGCGCTGCAGCGCGGCTTCGACGGCTCGCTTCCCGCGACCACCTCGAGGGACGCGAAGGGCCGCGAGAGGGTGGACCTCGGAGACGGGCTGGTGATCACCCGCCTCGCGCCCGGGGCCAACGGGAGCTCTCCCGTGGACGACGACTCGGTCTCGCTGGAGTACAGGGCCTTCACCAGGGATGGCGACGAGTACGCCTCGTCCCGCAGCCTGGGCCCCCTGAACTTCACGCTGGGGGACCCGGGCCTCATCCCCGGGCTGGCCAGGGCGGTGAGGCACATGACCCTCGGGGAGCGCGTGCTCGTCCAGCTGCCCAGGCAGCTCCTGTATCGGAGAGGCGCCCGCCATTCCGCGGACCCCCAAAAGAGGGGGTTCGTGACGATGTCAGGGGTAGGGCCTCGACGCGCATGTGGCCGAACACAGAAGGTCCGTCTTGGGGCCCGTTTTGGGCCAGACTCGGGGCCTGCTTAGGGCCATCTTGGGCTCTGTTGGGGCTCTCTTGGGGCCTCATGGGGCCATCTTGGCGTCACTTGGGACGTCCTGGGGCCGCTTTGGGGCGTCTTGGGCTCGTCAGATGGCGTCATGTTGCCGTCTTGGACCGCCTTGGAGCCGTCTCGGGGCCGTCTGGGAAGTTGCTTTGGAGGCTCTGAGGCCATTTCAGGAGCATCTTGTCCCATCTTGGGGGATCTTAGGAGCCTCTTCCTGGGCCCTCCCAGGGACCTCTGGAGCCCCTCTTTGGGCACACGGAGCCCAGTGGGCCGTTTTGGAGGCCTTCTTTGGGGCCCAGAGGTGCGTCGGGGAGCTCGGAGGGGAATCCCCCCATCAGACGGGACTTGGGAATTTCGGGGAGGGGGAACCGCCGGCAAGCGGGGGTCGGCGGACCCCATCCCGCCCGAGGAGCCCCTCCCTCCGGACGACGTGCTGATCTTCGACGTGACGCTGCGCCACGTCGGCTCCGTGGAGGCCCCTGAGGCGCCAGCGGCCGCGCCAGCGGCCGCGTCCGAGGCTGGCGGCCTGGCCACGGCCGGCGGCGCCGGGCCGCTCGCGCAGAACGGCACCCTCCGCGGCTGGCTCGACGGCCTGCTGCACAGCGCGCAGGTGCGGGGCGACCCGGGCGAGCAGAAGATGCTGGGCGTGCCGCTGCGCGAGGTCGGCTCCGTGCAGACGCCCCCGGCGGGCGGCGCCCAGTAGCACGCGCCGCTCGAGTCCGGGGCGCTCGTGCGCCCGGCACGGCGGCACCGCTTGCCCGCACTCTTTCCTCCCTCTGTTCGCTGCGCCCCAGCGCGGCCGCGCTCCAGGTGGCGCCGCTTCAGGGAAAACGGCCATCGATAGACGCCTTCCCGCGAGTCACCGCCGCCCCCCTGTGGGCTGGAGGGCGGGGCGTGTCGGGGGCCTCTCGCCTCTTGGGGCCTCGTGGGGCACCGGGCTAGGATTGGGTCCTCTCCGGCCAATTGTGCGTCTTCCTTGGGCCATCATGGGTCGTGGGGCATCCAAGGGCCCCCCTGGACCTTCCTCGGGCCCCCCTGGTTTCCCAGGGCATCCAAGGCCTCCCCAGGAGCTTGCCAGGAGTTCCCCAGATCCTAAACCCTCAGGCCTAACGGTCCTACGCCCTCCCAGGGGACGCCCAGGAGCCTCCCTGGGGCTCCCCGATCATCTCAGGAGCATCCACTGCCTTCCGAGGGCCTCATGTGCTAAGGGTTGTGCGGAGCTTCTCAGATCTCAGGGCCTCAGTGCCGCCAGTGCCGCTGCAGTTGGATTTTCCATGTGCGCAGCCCCCCGCCTTTGGACATCGCTCCATTCAGGATTCCGTGTCTGCCAGATTTCTGCATTCTTGGAGACTCCCAGAGGGCCCTCGTCGTCACGGCTGGCTTCGCCTCGCAACCCTGCTCAGAACGCTCTCTGGGAGAGGTCCAGGGGTCGGCTTTGAGGTCGAATGAGGAATAAAAGAAGAGGATGGAGGAGGAGGGCAAGGGTGAGAGGCAACTTCGATCTGCTTGGCACCACGCTGCCGACTAGAGTGTGACGGGCTGGAGTGCGCAGCTTCTCTGCGCTCAAGCTCTTCTCGGCCAGAGCGAGCGCCTCCCGCCCGCCTCTGCCCTTCCCATACCCTGGCCTCGCCCGACCAGACAGACCAGCGCGACACGGCCATGGCGCCGCGCGCCTTGGCCCTCCTCGCCCTGGCAGCCTTGCCGCGGGCGGCCGCGCTCCAGGCCGGCGGCGCCGCCCCGGCCAGCGGCGCCGCTCTCGATGGAGCGGCCGGCGGGGCCGGGCCGCTCGCGCAGAACGGCACGCTCCGCAGTTGGCTGGACGGCCTGCTGCACAGCGCGCAGGTGCGGAGCGACCCGGGCGTCCAGAAGATGTTCGCGCTCGTGCCCGGCCTGGAGGGCGCGCTCCAGGGGCCGGACGCGCTGCAGCAGGCGTTCAGCCCGAGGATGATCGATGCGCTGCAGCGCGGCTTCGACGGCTCGCTTCCCGCGACCACCTCGAGGGACGCGAAGGGCCGCGAGAGGGTGGACCTCGGAGACGGGCTGGTGATCACCCGCCTCGCGCCCGGGGCCAACGGGAGCTCTCCCGTGGACGACGACTCGGTCTCGCTGGAGTACAGGGCCTTCACCAGGGATGGCGACGAGTACGCCTCGTCCCGCAGCCTGGGCCCCCTGAACTTCACGCTGGGGGACCCGGGCCTCATCCCCGGGCTGGCCAGGGCGGTGAGGCACATGACCCTCGGGGAGCGCGTACTCGTCCGGCTGCCCAGGCAGCTCCTGTATCGGAGAGGCTCCCGCCATTCCGCGGACCCCCAAAGAGGGGGTTCGTGACGATGTCCGGGGTTGCGCGAGTGCCCCGTGTATGGCAAGGAAGAGGTGGACAAGGAGAGATGAAGAGGATAGTGGAGAGGGAGGCGACGATGACGAACACGCACGACGAGATGATGATATGATGATGATGATGATGATGATGATGATGATGATGATGATGATGCTGTGCTGATGCTGATGCTGATGCTGCTGATGCTGATGATGATGATGATGATGATGATGATGATGATGATGATGATGATGATGATGATGATGATGATGATGATGATGATGATGATGATGATGATGATGATGATGATGATGTGGTGGTGGTGGTGATGATGATGATGATGGTGATGGTGGTGGTGATGGTGACGGTTCTGGTGGTGGTGATGATGATGATGCTGATGATGCTGATGAGGATGATGTGGATGATGAGGATGATGATGATGTGGATGATGAAGATGATGACGATGATGAGGATGATGAGGATTATGAGGATGATGAGGATGATGAGGACGATGAGGATGATGAGGATGATGAGGATGATGAGGATGATGATGATGATGATGATGAGGATTAGGATGAGGATGAGGATGCGGATGAGGAGGATGATGAGGATGAGGAGGATGAGGAGAATGAGCATGAGGAGGATGAGGATGAGGAGGATGCGGATGAGGAGGAGGATGAGGATGATGAGGATGATGGCGATGATGATGATGAAGGTGATGATGCAGATGATGAAGATGATGATGCAGATGATCATGATGATGCTGATGATGCTGATGATGATGATGCTGATGATGATGATGATGCTGATGATGATGATGATGATGACAGTGGCGGTGGTAATGATGATGATGCTGACGATGATGATGATGAGGATCATACTGTTGTTGATGATGACAATGTTGATAATGGTTGTGGAGATGGTGAGGGTGATAGTGATGATGACGTGGACGAAGACAACGACCAGAACGACGACGGCCATGACGACGATGATGAAGGTAATGATGTCGAGTATGACGTTGATGAAGATGATTCTGATGACGATGATGAAGATGCTGATGATGATGATGCGGATGATCTTGGTGGTGATGATGACGATGTTGATGAGGCTGATGATGCTTCTGATGATGATGCTGATGATGATGACGACTGTAACGATGATGGTGATTCTAATGACGATGCTGATGATGACGACGATGTTGATGGTGATGAGGATCACGGTGATGATGATGAAGATGAACATGATGATGATGATGATGATGATGATGGTGATGATGATGATGACGATGATGATGATGATGATGATGATGGTGACGATGATGATGATGATGATGATGATGATGATGATGATGATGATGATGATCATGATCATGATTGCGATGATGGTGATGATGATGCTGCTGCTGATGAGGATGAGGATGAGGATGATGCTGATGCTGATGATGACGATGACGATGATGATGATGGTGATGGTGATGGTGATGGTGATGATGGTGATGATGATGATGATGATGATGATGATGATGCGGCCGATGATGATGCTCATGGTGATTGTGATGATTACGATGGGGACGATTGCCATGATTATGCTGATAATGATGACGATGACGCTGCTGTTGACGGTGATGATACTGCTGATGACGATGATGATGATAATGTTGATG